ATATGATGGTGGTCTCATCAGATCATGATACTGTATTTTCATTGCACATTTTCTGTGTTTAGCTGTTTAGATACACAAATGCTTCCCACTGTATTACAGTTTCCTATAGTATTTAGTACAGTAACATGTCTTGTAGGTACAAGTTTGTAGCCTAGGAGCAATAGGCTGTACCTATAGCCTTGATGTGTGTTAGGCTATATAATCTAGGTTTGTGTAAGTACACTCTCTGATATTTTTGCAATGACTAAATTACCTAGATTATCTCAGAACATATCCCTGCCTTTAAGTGACACATAAATACATAAATATATACACATTCCATTCCAAAATATAAATCTGATGACTCTTTTTTATTGTGATTATTTTGAAAAGTTCTAACACTTTGAGTAAGAGTCAGAAGAAACTACTCATGTACTAATGTCTCTGACTAGGACAGGATTGTTCCATAATTCAAAGCAAAACTTCCCATTTTTTTCATCATATGAATAGAAAACAATAAATAATATTGGCATACTGGAGTACACAGATGTGGCTGTTTATGGTTGTAAGTAACAGCCCAGGATTTCTGGCATCTTCAACCCCACCTGGCTTTCTTAGGGCTGAGGAATTAATAACTTCTATATACCTGTACAGTGAGTGCTCGACTTATGACCACGATTGGTCCCGAAAGACCGGTCGTAACACGATTTGGTCGTAAGTTGAGTAGGCTCTACGTACAGTTGAAATGGTGCACGCAGAGGTGGCAGTGCTGCCAGAAGCTGGTCCGCACTGTCCTACGCCCAGCTGGGCAACGTTTGCGCTGCCAGACGTGGAGCAGTCGTGGCTAGTGACTGTGGTCGTAAAGTCGAATGGTCCTAAGTTGCATAGGTCGTAAGTCGATCAGTACCTCTTTTGACCTATTGGTGTGTATTCCCATTGGGAAGCTGTGGCTTAAAGAAGGCTCAAGAGCTGAGAAAGGAGCCTATGCTAGAAAGCTGCTAACATTGGAGAAAGAATTAACTTGCTGCATAAAAGCTAATTCGCTTTTCTATCTTTCAATGGATAAAATTGTACATACCTTTAGCAGATGAGTCAAGCATCAAAATGGTAATATGTGTTAATTCAAATGCCAACTTCTTGATTGATAATAGCTGCTTGGATATTTTTGTTGAGAAACATTCTTTTTTATTGCATTTTAGGTTTTGGGGTACATGTGAAGAACACGCAAGATTGTTGCATAGGTACAGACATGGCAGTGTGATTTGCTGCCTTCCTCCCCATCCCCTATATCTGGCATTTCACAGGCGTTGTCTAGGTCCAGTTGAAAATAATGCTGGATTGATGAATGACATTTACCATAGTTACGGTAGGAAAGAACGACATTATTAACTGACCCAGACCACAGGTTGATTGTAAAACAGAAAGTATTCATTCTGCAAATCTTTCTTTTAAAATATTTTATGGATTGAACTTTAAGCTTATATCCTATGTTTGTTTTATTGTTTTGGGTTATAAATAATCCAGTGGACAAGCCTACCTTAATCCTTTGTTATAGCTCATTTTGCTCAACTCAATGCTTTCAATGCAGGTGCTTATTTTTATTGTTTTGTCTCCTTATTGACCATGTAATATGTGGCTTAATTTATTCCCATTTATCTTTCACTTTTAAATAGAGATGAAGGAAGAGCCTCAAAGGAGGACACAGATAAACATGGCCCTGGTCCTAGAGGAAGCTAAAAGTGTTCACTCTCCCTGTGAGCCTTACACAGGAGCTTCTGCAACATAAAAGAGATCACAAGGCCAGTGCTGATGAAGCCCTTGATCCTGTGCTTGTTACCTAGGAAAACGTGACAGCAATACCTTAAAAATCACTGTATCTGTGACTCAGGAGATGCAGAACAAATTATCCCAGGATGAAATATTAGCCTAAGCATATTGTGGGAATAGCGCAGATTAATTTTTTTCTCTTTTCTAAATTCACATATGTACCCCGTTTTTTAATATTTATTGACTGCTCAGTTCAGTCCCTTTTCAGAGAGAAAGAGGGTATATTTCATTTGTTCAAAAATATAAAAATAATCAGCCCTCTTATCCTTCAAAATAAAAATCAGCTTTGCTCCCAACCTGTTTGATATCTGGAATATATCAATTAATAACTTCACTTTAGAGATTCATTACATATGACGTTGGAATATATGCTATAGCATTACCGTAAAGAGCTGGATTAAATAGTAAAACAAATAGATATACCAAAAGAAAACTGGGCCAAAACATAAATGTCAGAGGCATTTGAACCAGAGCAAGTGCATCTTGAATAGGAGCTGGGTCAAATAAGGCTGAGACGTACTGGGCTGCATTCCCAGCCTTAGAATTCCTAGGGCATTCTATCTTTAAGGTTAAGGCACAAGACACATGTCACAAAGACTTTGCTGACAAAACAGTTTGCAGTAAAGAAGCCGGACAAAACCCACCAAAACCAAGATGGTGATGAGAGTTACCTCTGGTCGCCCTCACAGCTACACTTTCACCAGTACCAAGACAGTTTACAAATCCCATGACAATGCCAGGAGGTTTTGGGTCTAAAACCTCTACAAGGTCTAAAAAGAGGAGGCATGAATAATTCATCCCTCGTTTAGCATACCATCAAGAAATAACGATAACCATGGGCAACCAGGAGCCCACAGGGCAGTTCTGTCTACGGAGTAGCTGTTCTTTTATTCCTTTACTTTCTTAACAAAACTTGCTTTCACTTTAGTCTACGGACTCACCCTGAGTCATTTCTTGTGTGAGATCTAAAAGCTCTCTCTCTTGGGGTCTGGATTAGGACCTCTTTCCTGTAATAACTCTCTGGGGATCATGGAAATGACTATATCTTTAAGATGAAGGGTCCTCTTGTAAAGGAGTGGGAGAGATATGTCAGAGGCGTTGGAACTAGAGCCACTCCATCTTGAATGAAGACTAAGAAAATGAGGCTGGGACTTACGTGGCTGCATTCCCAGAAAATTAGGTATTCCTAGCCTCTACCAGCTTAAGGTTAGGGAAACAGACAGATAACGTTTACTAAACAGACTTAGACTTGGGAGTATCCAGACAGCCCAACAACCTGAGAACAAAGGCATTCCTAATTTTGCTTTAAAGACAGTAATATTTATTCTTGTAAAATACAGTAATTAAGAAAATTAATCTCTTATCACAAGTCCTTGTCCTTGTAGTTCCATGATCTTTTTTTTTTTTTTAACTTAGTTAAAATAAAGTACCTAGGTTAAAAAAAATTGTTAAAAAAAAAAAAAGAATTCCATTTGTTTTTTCTTTTTTTGTTTGTTTGGTTTTTAACTAGGTTAAAAAAAAAAAAGTTGTGCACCCAGGGTGGACATGGTCCTCCTCATACTTTCGAGAACACCCTTCTTGTTTATGGAGTAGCTGTTCTTTCACCACTTTACTTTCTTAATAAACTTGCTTTTGCTTTACACTGTTGACTCATCCTTAATTCTTTCTTGTGCAAGATCCAAGAACCCTTCTTGGGGTCTCGATCGGGACCCCTACCTGGTAACAAAAATAGTGTATTCTTACAATAATAAATAAAATGGCTAATAAACTGAAATACTCTACTTGCTAGTCATCAAAAAAATGTAAATTAAAATGAAACACCTTTGGAAATGTTTAAGATAAAATGACAATGCCATTCCAGGAAACAGACACACTTCCTCCAGGGGTATAATCTTCCTGGAGGATAGTTTGACAAAATTTATCAATACCTTTAAGTGTCATATGCAGTAGTTCAACCCAGCAGTTACTTTTCTGAGAAGGTATCCTAAGAAAAATTTCTGCAAAAACTTGCTTATAATTGTTTTTAGTAGTCTAAGAGTAACTTAGCCCTAAAGCAGATAATAGAGTTTGAAATCGATTTGATGAGAACCATATAGTGCTTTCCTCATGTGGATACAGATTAGCAGAGGAAGGGAATTAGAAGATTTTAAAGGACAAGAGCAAGACGTGCTTGCAAAGGATGAAAACAATAAAAGAAGCAGAAGCATCAAGAATTAAGAATGAAAGCTGGATGTCAGCTTCAAGTCCTGCGGAGGGTCAAGTCTGGGGCTGTTGTTTTACTTCCTTTTGTGTCTCTAATTAATTAGTGTCTTTCTCTTGTTCCATCACCAGGAAATCTAACTTGCTTGCACAAATAAATCATTGCCAGGTCTGTCAATATCACTGATAAACAGGCATGATTGGTTACACACTTCCCTTCACTGCAACTGAACAAAAACTTTCTCACTGAAATATTTAACAAGACAAAGTCATAGTTTTGTTTGTTCATTTGTTTGTTTGTTTGGGGGGTGAAACACCTTAAAGAATATCCAAGTCAAGACTTCAATTTTGTAAATGAAGAGGTAAGACTAAAATGATAAACTAGCTTTACTGTGTTGTTAATAACATGACAGGGATTACAACCTGGGTGTTTAGGGAATCTCTTAGCCCAATCTCCCTATAAAGCAAAATGGCCCCTAATCATTAGCAGAAAATTAATGAATTGCCTCTCTCAAGGGCTGAGAAACTGTAAACAGTAAGTTGTAAACTTCCATGATACGTACATAAGCCACACGAAGATATGTGTGCACCTGACCCAGAAACTTGAAGTGCATATATTACAACAAATGAAACATGGTGTACCCACAGAATTCTCATGAGAATCTCTGTATCCAGAAATTACACTTGCTTCACGTTTTAATGTTGCTGTTAGAGAATAAAAAGGGACTTGCCTAGCTCACTGAACCTGATTTCAACAAGGTAAAAGAATTATGACTGGATGTCATTGATGCCCAGTCTTCCTGTCCCTAGGGGAATTCAGTGGGCTCAGAAATAAACATTCACCCCATGAAGATGTGACCTTATTGTGCTCTCCATGTTTGGCTATGGATTGTGGGCAAATCCCTCTGTTAGAGCTGTGCCCTACCCCACTCCCCTGACTACCCCCTAAAAAAAAAAAAAAGAAAGAATTTAGAACTGTTTAGAAATGGTGGGAATTGTTCACTTAGGCAGCATATATACTAACATTGGAATGATACAGAGAAGTTAAGCATGGCCTCTTTGAAAGGATTACACCCAAATTTGTGAAGCATTTCTTATTTTAAAAAAACTTATAAACTAATAAAAACTAAAAATGAAAAAAAAATGGTGGCAATAAAAGCCTTGCAGTTTGAAACTAAACTCTCAAGTGCACAATACAGACAGATGGGTGGTGGTATTTTGTTTTTTGTTTTCAAAAACCACAGTTAATGACTCCAAAATGTGAAAATGCTATTAAGTATCAAGACATTATAATAAATATTTTTACATGTAAAATAGGTCTGGCATTTTGTAAGCAAGTGTATTAGTCCGTTTTCACACTGCTAATGAAGACATAGCTGAGACCAGGTAATGTATAAAGAAAAGAGGTTTCATTGACTCACAGTTCTACAGTGTTGGGAAAGCCTTGGGTAACTTACAATAATGGCAGAAGGAGAAGTAAGTACATTCTTCTTCACATGGCAGCAGCAAGGAGAAGTGCAGAGTGATGTGGGGGAAGCTCCTTATAAAACCAACAGATGTTGTGAGAACTCACTCACCGTCATGAGAACAGCATGGACATAACTGTCCCTGTGATTGAATCACCATCCGCCAGGTCCCTCCCACAACAGGTGTGATTGTGGGAACTACAATTCAAGATGAGATTTGGTTGGGGACATAGCCAAACTATATCAGAAAATATAACTGTAGATCTAGATTTCTCGTTCCTCTAGTGCGTGACGACAGTTGCTTTGGGACTTAACGTAAGGGCAAACAAATTCCATTTGGTTTCGTGTGATTCAATCTGCCTGATCTAATAACAGCTGGTCCCAGCGGAAAGTCATACTGGGGATGTATTATCCAGAAGAAAATAAGTTAATAAAAGATTAGTGATGTATGTCTCAACAACAAAAAGAAGACACAGAACTTTTATGTAAGTGTCTTTGTGTGTTTTTAATGTACTGAACGTTAAGTACTTATCAAACATTAATCATATTAAAATCTTGGCATTTTGTAGCAAGACTGCAATTACCTATGTTATATGAATCCATTAAGAATAAGAAATCAGACACTGAAATGCTTGCTAAATTAAAATTCTGCAAATGGCATTAAAAGGTAAAATCTGGTATACAGAAAGCAATTGAATTAAACCAGTATCTTTAAAATAAAAGAATTTACTCTAAAACATTAGTTGGGGGTGTTCTTTTTTTGATTATGTATAGCCCCAAATGTTAACTTCCAAAATGAAGTTGGACCTAACTCTGTATTGGAGGGTAAAAAAGTCAACTCCATTCATCTGGTTTTTTGAAAGCACCAAATTTCATGGTTCTTCTTCCTTCTCAGAAGAAGCTATTCATGCAGGTGACAGAAAGAGGAGTATTTAGTAGGAGAAATGGAAATAGTTCAATGAATGGCTTAATTGTACCAAAGTTGAAGAAATCAATAGGACAAAAAGTATTTCTCTCCTACTGCATATTGGGTAATGGGATAGGCCCTGGTGGAAAAGAAAGCCACAAGTTAAATTGTTAAATACGTGTACTATTGAACTCTGAAAATAAATAAATCTCTTAATCTACCTGAGCTTTATCTGAATCTCCTCAAACTATTAAGAGTTTCATGATATGGAGACAAAAATTACATATACTTTAAACACATATTTAGAACATGTTGTTAAAAGATAAAAGCAGCTAAAAATATAATATTCACCAAAATTATGCAACGTAATAATAAATATGTTGCCAGCATTTATTGAGAATTTTCCATGTGCTGGATACTGAGCTAAATGATTTATCTGATTTATCTCATTGAATCCCCATATTAGCCCTGTAAATAAAGTAATATTAAAACTATATTATTACACTCAAAACTATGTAGCACAGAGAAGTTTTCTTGATCAATAGTGAATGAATAAATTGTTCTCACTTTAAAAAAGAGGAAACTGACTTAGAGGTCTGTCTTATCACAGTCATCCAGCTAGCAAGAGCTCAAACTCAGTATTGTACGGTAAACACCATGGTAGAAACATACACAGATTCACATGAAAGTACAGAGAACGGGTTTCTAACCTAAAGTGGGGAGGAGGAGGAAGTTATAAGGAAAATGAAACTTCATATTATCTCTTTCCAAATAAGAATTAGGTTCTACTTCTCAGAGAACACGTTCATAACAATTTGCATTTATCACGCTGTGATGATGATTTGCTCATGTGGCTTCTTGTCTATTTAAGCCGTTAGTCCCCTAAAGGTAGTAATATGTCTTACTCCATCTTTATCTTTAAAGAGCCTTGGATCATATCTTTTACAGTATAGGATCTGACATAAGTTTGTTGACTGAATAAATGACCCACGAGAGATAGTGCCCTTGATTAAGTAATAGATCAAATTAGTACTGAAAGACGGCCTCCTAGTCTTGGGAGGATTTTCTAACACTTTGCTAAAAACAAACTACTTTGTATGAAGCTCACGACTTACAACATCATTGTATTTTGTCCTGTACATATAAGGTCATAAGAAAATTCATCTTTCTTACTATATATGATTACCTAGGAAGATGGTCATGGATTGAAAAATATTTGTCACATATATGGGTTTTATTTTATGATTTAATGGCGGGATTCTATTGCTATTCATCAACTAATAAAATTTACCCATCTGAGCACAGTGAGTTGTTTATTGAATGCAGCAAGATTGATTTTAGCAGTTTTAGCAGGTGAAAATTAAAACCATGCTTGCTTTATTCCAGTGCTTGGTAATATGCAAAGTAACAAAGGAACTAGAAGAGAAGCAGTTCATGTATTTCTTGAAGTCAGAGGTCAAGGATTGGTTCATACTGCCATTTCATTGCTCATAAAATATAAAATAATACACCATAGTTCCTCATGAGATTGGCAGTTGTTATTATGGTAGCAACTTATATTTGAAAACAGTGGCCTTTTTCAGAGACAGATTTAGCTGTCATTATTATCACGAGTATGCAAAGATTATACAGAAATCAACAATTAGTACTTAACAAGATTAAATGAAAATGGCAAATGAAGTTGTGCCTTGATCTTTGCTGAATTAACCTTCCAGACATGTGGTACCTTGAAGTTTCAACTCACAACGATGGGTCAGTTTCCTACAGATTCAGGGCTGTTGCTGGGATTTTGGAATTCCTAAAGGAATACACCTTGCCTTTTCATTAGTCTATCTCAATTTGCTAAAGGATAGCTACTGAGAAACTGGCTGCCCTTGTAGGCAGTATGACATTTTGGGGGAATGAATAAATCTTCAATGATAGAAAAGATGAGTAACAGTGGGCTTCTCTTATCCATAGATTAGTTTTCCTCAGATTCAGTTACTCATGGTCAACTGCAATCCGAAAATATTAAAAATAAAAAAAACGAACAATTCATAAGTTCCAAATCGTATACTTTTCTGAGTAGTGTAATGAGTATTATAATGAAATCTTGCACTGCCCCCCACCGTCCTGCGTGGGATGCGAATGATCTCTCTGTCCAGCATTTACATGCTGTACACATCATGGACCTGCCTGTTAGTCACTTAGTAGCCATCTCGGTCATCAGGTCAACTGTCATGGTGTCCTAATGCTTGTGTTCAAGTCACCCTTATTTTACTTAATAATAGCTAAGCATATGGAATACTGTGCAACCTAACTAATAAACATGCAAATTTAATAATAATAATAATAATAATAATAATAATAAATAGCTCCAAAGCACAAAACTAGTGATGTTGGCTATTTGGATATGCCAAAGAGACACACTGTTTTTCTTAAACAGAAAGGTGAAAGTTCTAAACTTAATAAACAAAGAAAGTCACATGCTAAGATTGCTAAAATTGGAAGTAAGAATAAATTGGCTGTCAAAGTGTGAGAAGGGAAAAAAAAAAAAAAAACTTGTGTTAGTTTTGCTGTTGCACCTCAAACTGGGAAACTTACTGTCACCGTACATGATGAGTGCTTGGTAAAGATGAAAAAGGCATTAGCATGAATAGAAACATGTTCTGATTGACTGGAATGGAGTTCAGTGCTATCTGCGGTACCCACTTGGGGTCTTGGAACATATCTCCTGTAGATAAGGGGAGACCACTGTAGTACAGTCTTATGTCTAGAGGTTATCAAAAACATTAGAAAATACAACTATCAGTTTATAGATGTGTGTCTAAATTTCATTTCTGTTTCTGAATATGGCGTGTAAAACACAACAAATCTCAAGGTGATAGATCTCTTTTTTAAAAAAATAATCTACAGTGCTTTTTAAATTGACACATAATATTTATGGAGTACATGTGATATTTGGTACAGGCATGAAATGCAAAATCATCATTTCAGGATGTTTAAATTATCCTTCACCTCCAGAGTATAATCACCTAAATTAGAAATCCTCTCTTCGAATTATTTTAAAATATACAGTACCCTGTTGTTAACTATAGTCCTCGTACTCTGCTACCCAGCATTAAAACTTATTCCTTCTATCTAACTGTATATTCGTGCCCATAAACCAACTTTTCTTCATCTCCCCCACCATTATTGATTTCTTTTAGTCTGTTTTTGCTTTTGTAAAAAATATTAACAGCTTTCAATGAGAACCAAAGTGGAAATTTATCTGTTGAAAATCCTAAGAAATATGCGTCACTTTTTCTTTCCTTTTTCCTCAGGAATAGCAAAGAGCATATTGATTATCTGCTTCTTGGACTTTTTCAAAAATGCTTTAGAAATTCTATCCTAATGTATTTTTATGCAAATATATAAACTAAGGCACAGTGTATATGAGACAAATGAGGGAAATTCTACAGAAAATTACCTGTGTTCTTAAAAAAGTGTCAAGATCATAAAAAACTAAAAAAGTATTTTTAAAAGGCTTACATTTTTCTCCAAAAAAAAAAAAAAAGGAGGGGGGGGAATGGTTAGATTGAGGACATAGCTATGAAAGACATTTTTAGGACAATTTTCAAAATTTGAGTATAGATAGTGTGTTGGACAAGAGTTTTCTATTAATATTGCTTTCTGATTTTGATTATTTAACTGTGGTTATGTCAATATTGCCTTTTCTCATAGGAAATACACTTTGAAGAATTTAGGATG